GCAACATACTTAGGATGAAAGGGAATTTCTAGACAGATGGATATATTTCTAACAACTAAATTGGACAACTAGAGTTAACTGTGTTATTAAGCAACTATGGGTTAACTAGATAACTATGCTCTCTGTAGAATGTACTTGAGTAGCAATGACAACTTCTGCAACTTGTCACCACAGGAGCGTAACAAACTCAGGAAGTCCTGCTAGAACTCTGCTCTGCCCCCTCTCCACTGCTCTGCTTTGTGTGCTTGCTATAGTCCCAGGGAAATTCCAATGGACTTAAGCCTCATAGATGTAAAAAAAAATGTCAAATAACTAACCAACCAAAGACTGCCAAGTACTCTGCTTCTGTTTCTGTACCTCCTGCTTGCAACCCTGTAAAAGTGCTGGCCCACTGATATTCTGGGCCTGATTTCTTTGGGAGCAATCCCAGTCAGGTCCATCAATGTAACAAAAGAATTGTACACTGCCTCTTGCCTCTTTGGGTGTCTTCCTTTCCTAGATTCAGTTTGCCAGAGCAAGGAGACTCTCCTTCCATCCTTTGACTATAGGCTGGCTTCAGGCAGTCTTGCTCAGCCACCACTTGCAGGCAGAAGTGCAGCATTATTAGCAGAAAAAAATACTCTTTCTCAGTTGTTTAGCAGAAATCCTATCACTGATTCTAATTTGCAAGACCTGAGTCCTGGGCTCATCGCCAGAGCCAGGAAAGTGATGTCACCCTTCCCAAAATACGTGGATCAAGGGTGGGAAAAGCATGGCTCCCATAGAACATAAGGGCTCTATTTTCAGAAGAGAGCATGTGCTCTGGGTGGGCAAAGTGAACAGATGTCCAATATATGCACTCTCCTGTGACTATAGGATGAAATTAAATTCCCTTAGTCTGATACTCAAGATCCTTATACCTTACTGTGGCCCAAAACTTCCTTTCCTACTCTCTCACCCCTTGCTCAACACAAATTTTCCACTGGACCCATTCTTACCCATGTGTTCTCTTCCGTGGTCTTCTGGCTCTTTGCACCTTGGCTAATGGCATTGTCCTTGCCACCTGCTCGAATTCCACCCATCCTCTCAACCCAAGGTTAGTCCAGCCTCTAACAGTCCCACACTACAATGCTTTTATTCACTTGATCAACATTTATTGACTCAAAGCGTGGAGTCAGACAGATGTGGGAGACCATGTAAGCTGTCAGATTTACGGACACTTAAGTGAAAGTCTAGATGCCAGGGATATTTAGCTCAGTGGTTTCGCCGCCTGCTGCGCAAGTGCAAAGACCTGAGTTCAATTCCCAGTACCAAAAACAAAACCAAAAACAAGCAAACAAACAAACAAACGTGAAAGTGAAAGTCTGGAAAAAAGTCAGTATCAACATAAATATTTATTTAGAAGGAGAAAAATAAATCATAATTATAAATTTTGGAAAGGTGATATATGCCACATATGCTAAGATCACAAGCTCTCCATTAGTCAGTATTTATGGTTATAAAACACAGCAAGGGGGTGTGAAGGCAGATGTAAGGAATGGCAGCACTAAGGCACTTAATGAGCCAGGCTTGGAAAAGGGGAGTAACCATGTATAATTGCGAAGGACAGGTCACAGTTAACGATGTATGTAAAACATACATCCCTAGCTCCTGACTCAATAGGACAGATTGTTCTTAAAGACAAGTATACTACACAGTCAGCCCAGATATTAGAAAAAGGTTGCAAAAAATAGCTTTTGCTCCAGATAGTTCACTTGACACTTTAGTAAAAAATGGCCTCCTCAGTATTTTATAATTGAGAGCAAAAAGAAGCCAAGGAAAGTAAACAAAGAGATTAAAACGAAATGGCTGCTTTAATCACAGCCTTAAAAGGAACAGACACTAAGTGTGATTCTCTGGGCCTCAAAAAGAGCTCAGCAACTACTAACCCCATCTGCTCCACAGTGGAAAGCCAGGCACCTTAAGAGGCACTGCAACGACAAGTCCCCTGGACCATGCCCTACTTGCAAAAGTGACCACTGGAAGTTGGAGCCCTCTGAAGTGAAGGCCATAGAGCTCAGGCCTATCTTACCAGCTGGTCCAGCAAGACTGAAGGGCCCCAGGGCACTTTCTGCCTTCTCCCTCTGGCTGGACTGTCATCTCCAAGGAAGAGCACCAGCCATCATACCTCAATAAAAGGAGTCACTAAGGAGTGACACTATTCTCACAACCCTTGGTCTATAACTGGGATAGTTTTCTTTTTACACACTCCTTTTCATTAGGCCTAAAAGTCCAGTTCCCCTTCCTGGGGAAAATATTTTATCTTGTTTAAATACTGTAGTTTTTTCCAAAGCCACAGTCTTACAATATATAGATAGTATACTGTCATGTGTCCCCTCAGAAGAGCTCTCCAGCCAAGACACCTGTGCTCTGCTAGCAGACGGGGGTTATATGGTTCCTAGATCTAAAGAACAACTTTGTAGCCTTAAGGTAAAATATTTGGGCCTTATCATATCTAAACAAAACCAAAGACTGGGGGAAGAAAGAATTAAATCAATTCTTTCCCTCCCACAGCCCAAGACTCTAAAACAGCTAAGGAATTCCTAGAAATTACATGCTTTTGTTACCTTTAGATAACAAGATATAATAAGATTTCGTGATCCCTCTATCAGCTTACAAAGAAACCCAAAAGACAGATACCCATATTTTAACCTGGGAACCTGATTAACACTTTCATTTTCTCTCTCACTCTCTTTCAAGAGGCTAAAAATAAGCCATTCAGGTTCTTTGATTATTGGCTCAATTTTCTGCTTGGCAACACAGAGACAACCATAGCTCTTGTCTCTGGAGACATGTTTTGCTGAAGATTAGAGATCCGCTCTGGGAAAAGCTCCTGATCTTAATTGTCTTTCTGAGATGGCTGAGATTTAGTTCTTGTGCCACACTTAAGAGTCATTCTTGGTCCAACCTGCACCCTGCCCACCCTTGCGTGGAGCCCTGCTCCAACCCACCCTCGCCCCGGCCCCCAGCCACCAGCTTAGCCAAGCAGGTGCTTGCAGCCTGCCCTCTCTGGCCTCCTGGCTGAGCTGCTACCTGGTTCCACACTACAGAGGCACAGGGGGTCATAAAGACCATTGTCCTGAACTCCAGAAGATAGAGCAGAAGTGAACAACAGAAAGAGGGCCTCTCTCAGCCTCCTTGATGAAAACTGAAGCCCACTGGAAAAGTGAAGAGAATCTCTGCAATACAGGCACACCAGATCACAGTACTTGGTAAGTTGGAGGGATCACCACCTCCCATTGGAACCTGGACTATCTTTAGGGGAAGGGCAGCTGGAACCTGCAGTAGAACCTTGCAGAGTTCAATCCTGCAGGAGGACAGGGAGCTCAACCTGGGACTTGCAGCCAGAAATCTGCCTGAATCTCACAGGTCTGTGACTAGCTTGCTGAGACTCATTGACATATCTGCACACTGCTGCCCACGTTGTCTATTGTGACAGAACAGACATACCCTGAAGGAGGCCCTTCATTTTTATTTTTTATTTGTTATTTTCAAAATTATTACTTTTTTGCTTTTATTTTAATTTTTACTTTTTTCTTTTTCTACTCTTTTCAAATTTTTATTTTCTCTTTTTTTATTTCTTTTCTCTTTTCTTTCTCTCTCACTCACTCTCTCGCTGTCCCACATTGTTCTTCACCTCCCCTTTTGTTCCTGTTTTAGAGTCATTCTTCTCTTCTTTCTCCCCTGCCCTGCCCCTGAGAAATAACAGTTTTCAACAGCGTTTGGTCCAAGCCAGTTCTCTCCTCTGTGGCTGCTGGATTTCAGGACCTAGCTTTCAGAATGATGAGTTTCCCCCACCCTGGGCCCCTTGCAGAGTAAAGCTGACCTCTACTTATCTGTGGGCCATATTAAAAAAATCTGGTCTAGATTTAATCCTAAAACTCTAAGAACAAATATAAAAGTTTGATCCAAGTTTATCTGCCTTTCAATCCTTAGACAGAACTAGAGATTAACTCCTTTTACTTCCCTCCCCCTCTCAAGAATGATGCTGACTGGTTTTTATGGCCCAGGACAGACTGACTGATTTTTATAACACAGATAAGTTATTTGATAGAACAAAAACTTCCTAGGAAACTTTATGAGTTTAATAACAGTTTTAAACAAGCCAGGTGTGGTGGCACACACCTGTAATCCCAACACTTGAGGCTGAGGCAGGAGGATCACATTGAGTTCAAGGCCAGCCTGAACTACATAAAGAGACAATATCTCCAAGAAATTTTTAAAAATTTAAATTTAAA